TAAGACAGCATCTCAATTTTTACAATATACAAAAGATTTGAACAAAACAGTTCACTAAAGAAAATGTACAAATGATCAAAAAGTACCTGAAAACATGACCAGCATCATTAATTCAGATACACACATTTGTAAAAAATGATGCACCACCACATGCCTACTAGAATAGCTAAAGTGAAGAGGCAGAGCACCAGGGGCCAGCCTTGTATAGCAGATTAAGCTGCTGCCTGCAGTGCTGGCATCCCCTGTGGGCTGCTTCATGTCTGATCCAGCTCCCTGCTAATGCACCTGAGAAAACAGTGGAAGATGACCCAAGTACCTGGGCCTCCACCACTCATGTGGGAGACCTGGAAGAAACTCCAGGCTCCTGGCTTCTGTCTGGCCCAGCCCTGGTCATTGCAGCCATTTGGGAAGTGACCAGCAGATGGATGGAAGATCTTCACCACCACCACCACCACCCCTTTCTCTCCATCTTTCTAACTCTGTCTTTCCAATATATAAATCTAAAAAGAAAATAAAAAAAAGAAGAGCACATCATGTGTTGACATGAAGGTGAGGCAGCTGGAGCTCCCCTGCATTGCTGCATTGGGGGGGCACATTGGCGCAAACATTGTGGAACACTATTTGATGATGTCTTATAAAGGAAACCCTTGTCTGTGATCCCGAATGTTTTACTCCCGAGCACTCCTGGTGTTTCTACTCCTGACTGTTTTTACTCAGTCCCCCTTGGTAGATGTATTTTTTATCCAAGAGATGAAAATACTGTTAATATAAGTACCTTTACGCAGGTATTGATAGCAGCTTTATTTGTAACAGCCAGAATTGGAAACCACCCAAATGTCTGTCAGCTTGCGAATGGGTAGACAGATGATGGCGTATGTATAGCATTGAATACTAAGTAATAAAAGGATTAAACGACCAGCACATGTAACTGCGTGGATGGATTTCAGAAGCGCAGTGCTGTGTGAAGATGTTGCCAGGGCCTGGAGGTGGAGGGAGAGAGCTGAGTGTGAAGAGGCACAAGGCACTTTGGGGTCTGATGGAAATACCTGTATCTCGATTGTGGTGATGCTTACGTGAGTGCGTGTGCCTGTCAGATATGCAGCTGTGCTTTCTATAAAGGGTGACTACACTTCGATAAAGCTGACGTTGAAAACACACCCACGCACAGAAGGGGATTCTCAGCCTTACTCCTCACTAGAAAAAAACATACGTCAAAACCGGAGATCAGTGCTTTTGGCCTGACTGGCTAAGATCCGAGTGTTCGATTACCTGTTGCTTTCAAGCATGTGGGCAGGACTGACTCTCAGATATCGGAGGAACACTCGAGCAAATCTTCCAGATTTCAAATGCACAGAGTTTTGACTCAGATGTCATTTTTAGGGGCTGTTTCTTCAGGTAGAATATGTGCAAGGAAACAGTGGTTGGTATCATTGTTTATCACAGCAAAACGCAGGGAGCAATCTTGATTTCCACGGACTATGGTTTATGTGTGTCGTGGAGAAGCTGCATTTTATGTGCTGATGTGAATCAGTTTCATAAAGTATTGTTAAATAGTGCACAAGCCGGCATGTGTGTTGTGCTTCCATTTGTGTTAAAATGCGTGTATTCATATGTGTGTGCGTTGACTGTCAGGATAGGAAAAACATGCGAAAGCTGGTATAGTGATTGCTTATAATTGTAGGATGGACATGGCTTTTACTGTATATCTGTCCAGTTCTGTTGATATCTTTTAACCATGTACATGTATTAGCCTTCTCACTTAAAGAGAAAAAAATAAATCTCCCCAAATCATAATGTGTTATTGTTAGGATTAAGGAGACCATGGATTTCCCATTCATTTCCTCCAGAATGACCTTCCATGTCTTTGAGCAACGCAGCGGTGGGCTAGGTGGTTCTTCGGGAACTGGTCCAGCGTGACGTTTCTGACCAGGGCGTGTCACCCCTGCTTCCAGTCTGGTTTTTGTGTTCTTATGCTGTCACACTGAAGAGGGGATATACTTGTCCCACTGGACCCCTAAGATGCCTTTTTGTGCGCTGGACTGCTCTGCTAGCTTAGGGCCTTCCTGCTAAGCATGTGGTCCAGGAGCTTGACGGGGAGAAGGTTGGAAACCGTGCCTGTGCCACGTTTGCACAAGCCCCAGGAAGCCCTGCACTGAATGAGGGACGCCTCAGTGGGGGACTGTGGATCCAGGCCATGCTCTCTGAAAGTCAGGGAGCTTCGGAGGCTGTGGTCACGTTAGTGTGGATATGAAATGAATTCAAATGGACATGCTCAAGTTCCGAGCCTTGCCTCATCAGTGCTATAAAAAGCCCCTTAGCCGGACTGTGACTTGACTCCCCTCTGTAATGTTACACAATATTCCTGTGGTTATGGAACCCGAATAAGTGAAAACTAATCATTAGTTGGCTAAATGTGGTTCATGGAACAGTCTTCAACTCCCAGACCTGCCGGCCACTGCGTGTTTAGTCCCATGTTCACTCTTCATGGGAGTGTTTCGCAGAAAAATGTGCAGTAAGCTGCGCCTGGCGTCCAGGAGCCGTGCTGTGTGGCAGCTGTCCATGCACCGTTGCACCTTCACGTGGGAGCAGAGCTGCCCTAAGCACAGGGTTTGGGATACACTGTCTGCTGCAGGGAGAAACCGCTTTGGGTGGGAGATAGCATTAGTGCCACCCAGGGTTTTGGATGTTAGGAAAACCCCACCTTTGAGCTTTCAGACCTTGGTTGTGGTCGAACTCTCTGGAATTTATTACTCTGGGGCCCTAGAAATAAGACCAAGCTCTTGGGCTCTTTCCCTTCACTTGTCACGCGACAAGGAAGACTTCATGATTGCCCAGGGTTACCTGTGAATGCTACACAGTGCTCTGCCTTTTGGAGCGTTTCGTGTTTCGAGCTGAGGCCTTTGTCTGTCTGTCTCCAAGTGGGCGTCAGGGGAGCGTACTGAGAGCAGGAGGTACCAGCTGGATCCGTGCCTTACTTGGGGATTACAGGCTAAATCCTTAAGCCATTCCTGAGTATTTGGCTTCTTCCCACCAGGGTGAAAGTGGGTTCTTTCCCAGTAAATGGAAAATGTGCTGTGCCTACCTGTGGCTCTTGCTGCTTTTCCAGCTGAAAGGCTCTTGGCCCTGCGGGAGGAACCGCTTAGCAGGTGATGGCCCAGGGTTCTTGGAGACTCTCCAGAAAAGAGACAGCCTGGTGACTGTCTCTGTTTACCTGGTGTGCACTATAACATGGCATATGCATTATTAAAAATGGAAAACCTGACCTAAGGAGGAAACATAATTTATTGGTTCAGCTGATTACTAACAAGGCGTAGCTGGATCCAGGAGTTCAAAATGTGTCATCGCTAGCTACTATCTCCACTTCTCTGTCTTTGTGGGGCTCACCCTCGGGCTGTACATGGTAGCACCTGGCTGTTACATAACCTCCCAGGGGCGAGCCTGGCAGTTGACAGATAGCTCTTCCCCTGCCTCCTGAGAAAGGCCGAGGTTCTCTGTGAGCGGGCTGGCTTTGGTCTTGGCCCTCCCTGAACCAGGCACCAGCATGGCGGAGAGTGGTGTGGCTTTGATCTGTCAGCTGTGAAGTCAGAGAAAGACGAGGGGAGCCTCCCAGCTGATGATCGGGTGCTATGCAGAAAGGGGGGGGGGATGGAGATGGCGGGCTTTTGCAGGGTCTGCAGCCAATGTGAGGCAACCGGAGTCTCCCACGTGCCCCGAGACATCCTGCCACCCTCCTGTCACTATGTGGGTGACCGGACATGCCTCATTGCCACAGCACAGGCCTCTGTGCTTCCTCCTGCCCGGGCTCTGCTGCTCGAGAGGACTACAACTTCTCTCTCCACTTCTTGGATCACACACAGTTACTTAAACACACACAGTTGTCTGAAATGCCACACGAGAGAGACCTAAGATTTCCTCAAGGCCAATATTATTATGGTGATTCTCCTTGCACATTTGGGGTTAAGGCGGCTTTTAAAAAAATCAAGTCATGGAATCAAACCGTTCACAGTTTAGAAAAATATAAAAATAAAAACCACAATCCCACCACTTTAGCCCAACTTCTATGTTAATTTTAGAGCCTTTCCTTCCAGCCTTCGTTTGGTTGAGTTCGTCATGAACTTTTGTATCTTGATTTTTTTTTTCTTGCTATTACATAATGCAGGCATTTTTGATGTGGCTGTCCATTTGCTGTTATGTAAACGGCAGCAAAATATTCCATCAGGGAAGCACAGTCATTCGTCTGTCATCGGACACTTAGGTTCAATCCTGTTCTGCTTTTTCACTGCGGATGAAGAATAAATAGTGTGTGCTTTTCATTTCTGGAGTATATAACTTTTCTCATGCTTTATTTCCTGAGAACAGCTTGTGAGAAACTGGATTCCTGGTTCAGACGGTAGAAATATTGTGAAGATTTTCAATGCATATTGTTAGGTTGCTTTTGTTAAATGTTACGTTTGAGGTTAAGCCATCTATATCAGAGTGCCAGTTTGAGTCCTGGCTGTTTTTCTTCTGATCCACCTCCCTGCTAATGCAACTGGTAAGGCATCAAATAGTGGCCCAAGTATTTGGGCCATTGCCTCTCACCTGGCAGGCCTAGATTGAATTCCAGGCTCCTGGCTTCAGCCTGACCTAGCCCTGGCTGTTGTGGCCACCTGGGGAGTAAACCAGCAGATAGAAGATCTCTGCTATCTCTCCCTCCCTCTCTGTCACTCTGCTTTTCAGATAAATCAACATATAAATCTTTAAAAAGAAAGAAAGAAAGAAATTAGCAAAAAAAAACCACAAAAAACTGTCACATGTATCTCTGCTGCTTCCAACAATTTATGACTAAATCACTTTTATTACATTATTCCAGCAAGAGATACTTGGATTTTTAAAGATCTTCCCAGTTAGATAGATAAAGTGCACATCACTTTTGTTTTCATTGGGAATTCTGTGATTGCTAATAAGGTTGAGAGCTTTTTACGCATGCTGGTGTATCAGCTGTGTTTTCTGCATTTTAGACCCCAAAACAGCTGCAGAGACGGAAACAGATATCTGCGCCGAGTGGGAGATTAAGACCATCACCAGTGCTCTGAAGACTTACCTGAGGTAGGGGCTTCACGCTTGCAGGCAAGGTGCCAGCCAGTTCCCGTGAAACCAGGAAGAAGGCACTTTCGTTTCTGCCTCCCGAGAGCTGCCGGGTGGGTGGCTGAGATGTGGAGGTGGCTTCTGTGGGGGTGCACTTGGCTCAGCTGGTCAGAGTGCCTGTAAATCGGCCCTGAGTGCCGGGTCGCCCTTAGACTGAGCGGCCACGAGTGATTTAGGAATCTGCTCCTTATGAGAATCACTGGGATAATTAGCCTTGAGCAGAACCTGAAATATGGCCTTCCCTGAGTAATCTGTTAGGAAAACAAGGAATCAGGTGTCACATCTGTTGAGAATGCATTGCAGACCCCATGCATCTTGACAGGTTTGTGTGCTGTTAATGCTGGTCCTTTAAAATGAGAACTTGATGGAATTTTTTGACTCCTTCCACTTAGATTCTAAAATTCTGTCTTGCTGGAGGGACTGTTCTCCTTGTATTAACACATCTGATATTACTGTTACCTCTCTCTATCTCCAGTGGCTGCTAATGGGTTGGTTATTGATAGCTCCTTGCACTCCAGTCTCATGCAGAGGCTGAAATTTTGCTAAGTTAGAAGGGCAGGGTTATAAACACTGTAGTTCAGCCCTATAGTTCTTACGTATGAAAGCAGGGTCTAGTCTTCAATAGACAAAATTGTAATTGTGAATGGTATGAGCCTTTGAACAGTGTTTGTGAGGATGCACTTGGTTAGAAAGAAAAAAAGGAAGCCCGCAGAACAGCACTCAGTGATACAGGCTTGCTTGGCTCTTGGGCCATTGAAGTCAAGTGTGAGACATAATGCAAGGGAGGACAGAGCTGAATCAGGGAATCCAGTGAGAATAAAATCTGAGCCAAGAGTAAAGCAGTCTGCTGCGAAGTGTGGTATTTGATCGGAAGACAGTTCAGTTCTGTAGTTGAACTTAGTCAGACCTAAGAGGTAGAATTTGCTTAGATCATAACTAACATTGGGGATTTGGGCTCTTTGGCCTTCTGGGTTGCATTCATCCCAGAACCACCTACAGCATTTCATCCTGGTGTTTCCAGGTGAGCTGATCCAGGAAGCTACTGGGAGGTCACGAGTTGAAGCACAGATAATTGCAAAAGTGCAGATAGCTGGTTGTTTCTCAGACACATCTTAAAATGCTCTCGTGGGTGCACGATTCTTGGCGTGTGCTAGATCTTTGTGTTAGCATGTTTCTAGTTGTGACTGGGAAACGCGGTTCCATTTACCCGCTGAGGAAGCGAGGGAGTGAAGAGTTGAGGTGCAGTCCCAGGACCCTTTCCCTAGGGAAGTGAAGCGAGTTGCCGTTACTCCCCTGTGCTGGTTGTCCTTGAGAGCTGTCATGTGGCACAGCAGTGTCTCCGCCGCTGTTCCATGGGACTGTGGTGGCTGCCTTGCGGAGCTGCCGAGACTGTCTTTTTCTTCCAGGATGCTTCCAGGGCCGCTCATGATGTACCAGTTTCAAAGAAGTTTCATCAAAGCAGCAAGTAAGTCTCAATCTTGACAACGTTTTAAGAGGAAGAGACTAGGGTTTTCTGTTGGAAAGAACAGTCATTTTCCCCAAATAAATATTATCTGCCCCTTCATGTTCTGCATGTGAACTTCATGCATACACACTCATCACGCATACATACTCAGGAGACGCTGACATGGAATGAAAAATGAAACCAAATCGGGGAGGATAAGGGCCTTGCTACCACATTGAATTTACGGCGGAGGAGAGAGGCTTTGGGGTGGTGTGTTTTGTTTTGTTTTTGAGAAGAAGTAGGTGGTGGATAGTGGGAGAGAAGAGAGAAAAGCAAGTTTACTTTTCTAGTTTTGCTGATAAAATTTCTAGCTTCTTGGGTTTTTTTTTTTCCCCTCCAGCCTTTGGGTAGCATTTTGCAGAATGAATCAGACATTGCACATTGCCCAGATTGGACATGTTTCCCTGAACATGACACCCTTTCTATTACTTCACAGTGCTCTTTCCATCATGACTTCCATTTACAGCTTCTGATCATTCTTCAACTCTATCACCCAGGTCCCTGGCGTCATATTACTTGTATTAAAATACATAGGGCTTAGGTGCAGGCTGCCCTGAGTATCCTGGAATCTGTGTATGTGGGGAGGCCTCCTGTAAGGGGGCGGCTAGGTTCTCTATCAGGTTTAAGTCTGGCCTGAAGCCTCATGGTATTATTCTGTCAATAGCTTGAGCGTCTCCCTGGTTTCTTTTAGCCTTTCGGGTTTGTTTACCCTGTACTACTGGCCTAATTTAGTAGAACCTAATGTTCCGGTGGCCTTCTCTGCTCATATTTGTCCCCATAAAACAGGGACGACAAGGCCATGGGTGGAAGCTGGGAGTGAAGCTGGTGTTTATGTGATTTCTTGCTCCGAGAAATTCCAAACCCATAGCAACCATTCTCTAATTAAACGTCACATCAGTCCTATAAATAGATGTGATGAGTGCCATCAATCCATTTCACAGAGAAGTGAAGCCACTTCCACAAGTTCATCAAGAGAACACGATGAGCCAGGATACAGGTGACACCGTGGCAGACAGCTTTAAACCTCGCATCTGCCATTGCTCGCTTTCTCCCAGGCTGGTCCTCATGCGTAACTTGATAATCATGGGCATTTCCTTTGATTCCTCTGATGCTGTCTCAGAGCGTTATTTTGATATTTGAGCCCCTTGCAATGCTGTGCACGTAAGGTTTGTTTATCAGTTTTCAAGTGCATACAGTTCCTTCTTTCCTTGAAATGAAGTCGTCCCTCCAGGGAGCCAGCTGCGCCTGCATTGCCTCCTGCCCTGGGCATGCACTTGGCTGGCTCCATCCCACCACGTCCTCATCTTGGCTGGAGTTTTGTGATGGTCATTATTTTGCTGACCCCTGTTACAGAAAGCACCACTCGAAGGACTTCTAGATCTGGTCGTGCCGGTCATGCGGTACACACACAAGATACCCTGTAAACCCGGAGAACTTCTCCGTGTATTAGTGCCCACTCTTTGATTTCCCTTGATTTTTGTCTTGTAAAGTGGTGTAGCCATGACGGTGATAAAATAACTACCTCCCTCTTTCCTTCACAGAGCTGGAGAACCAGGAGACTCGGGTCTCTGAAATCCACAGCCTGGTTCATCGGCTCCCAGAGAAAAATCGGCAGATGTTACAGCTGCTCATGAACCACTTGGCCAAGTAGGTTTATGACTGACTGCTGGCCTTTTGCTCACCCCCAGAAAGTTCTTATCTTAGCAGAAAAGCTGGTCTCGGTTCTGCTTATGTTTCTGTCTCCCGCTGTTGCATCAGGTATGCTGGAGGCTTAGGAAAGAAATGTGTGAAATGTTAACTGCAGTGGATTACAGCGGCAAATGCCAGGCGGCCTTCGCGGGGCTGCCGCCCAGAGAAGCAGGCCACCAAGCAGCGTTTGCAGGGGTGTAATTTATCGCTCTTGTGATGATCCGGGGCCAGCCACACAGAGTTTTCAGGACTTAGTTGTTCTTATGATGCTCTAGAACAAACAAGAATACACTGTGGGTTTACGGAACTTAAATTTGGAGGAAGGAGACCTACACTGTGCAGCTGATTCTGTTCTGAAACTGTTGGGTCTCCTATTCCTTAGCTTTTTCCTCTGTCAACTATAAGTAATAGATTTTCCTTGACCCACGAAGTCAGTGACTGTAAAAGTTACTTATATTGAAGCCTTTGCAAAAGTTAAAAGAAGAAAGGACCCATTTGCCATTTGTGATAATCAAAGCTTTCAGTGGGAGCCTGATTTTCCTGGTAGGAGTATTTATACTCTTGGAATGGTTTTGAATTTTTGTGTGCTTACTGTTGCTTGACCCATTAAGAATGGCCTCGCTGACTTCGCTCAGTATGCCAGTCACTGTGTTTAAGTTCTAACCTTTCACTGACTTTGATGGAGTGTTCCTGTTTTCAGGCTGGGGCACAGACACAGAACAGGAGTATAGCAGTCAACCCAAGTCATTAAGCTCTAAACTCTATTGAGCCGTTGTGTTTTACATTTGGCCCTCACCAGCACTTTGCTCATGCCATTTAGGCAGTTCTTTGGGATAAGCTGGTACACATCTGAGGGAGGTTATATCGGTTGGTTTTCATATTGCCATCAAGCCCTTGATACTGCATTTTGGTGGGAAACCGTATGGGTATCATAATGACTTCAGTGGGTGTGATGAAGAAACAAGAGTGTTTTGAATGTCGGTGAGAAGCAATTGAGTGGAGGCCCGGGCTGCTCGGTTGTTTCCCTTGCCAGGCCCTATCAGAATTGCATGGTCAGAGAGAAGCATAGCGGAGAGCACGCAGGTTTGCAGGGAGAATGCTGAAAACATGTCAGCAAATCCTGATGGCGTATGTTTAAAGTCATGGGAACTTGGCTTTGGAAAGTGACTGCAGGTGCTCTGGGTTGGCAGTTGGGTGTCATTTCCTCACCACCCCAAATCAGGCACTTGTTCAACGAAAAACCTAGTTTCTGTCTGAACTGCAGAACTTGGCACCCTTGAGGGGCACACCCGCCCCCCACCCCAGAGAAGGTGGTTCAGGCACACATTCCAGCCTAGCAGGCATGGGAAAGAACGTGACCGTGGCCCCTGAGTCTTATGGGACCTGGAAGCCTGCTGGGAGCAGCTGGCACAGAAGGGTTAGGAACCAGCTGAAAGCTGTGGGAGTCTTTGCGAGCCCTGCAGTGGGAATGAGAGCTTCACTGGACTGAGGAGACCCAGAGTGAGTGGTGTCCAGAGAGCCTGTGTTGAATGTTCCCGGATGTAAATTGCCCTGAGGACTGTTAAGACTCCAGGAAGGGGGAAAACAGTTGAGAAACTGAAACCTTTAAGGTAGATCTCAAAGAGTTGGGCCTACTGGTATGTGGCTTCTTTCCCTTTATTCCCCCTCTCCTCCCTTCATCCTGTTAGTTAGTCCCCCTTAGTTCCTATCTAAGACATGGAACACCCAGAATACAAAAGGTACAGCTATGACCTTGACTTGTTGCCTTCTAAGGAGTTCAAGCCAACTTTGTTGTTGGGCTGATTGATTTCATAGCATTTCTGGAGTGGTGGTAAATCCCATCTTTGATACTGAAAATGATTTTCTTTGTTTCCCTGGCATTTCTGTCTTCATCAAGTTCTCAGGAAATCTCCGTATGGGAGAGCTGTCAGGCTCTAATGTGAGTTGGTCAGAGCTGGTGTTACCATACAAAAACACCAATGCGCAACGTGCTGTGTTCTTTACCTCCGGATTTTAAATGTCCTTGCAGAGATGGATGTAAATGAGTACTGCTAAGTCCAGTGAAGAGTATTTATTTAGGTCTGAAAAAATTCTTTGGCACCCAGAGGAGCTCTAAGATTCCACTTAAACTCTATACTCTGATTTACAGCACCATCTCTATTTTAAAACAGAGCAGTAGGGGGAAAGTAAACTTAGGACAAGAGCTTTATCTAAATCCAGTTTTCTCGGGTCAGGTGTACCCTAGGGTATGGCTAACTCTGGGCCACTCAATGATCAGCTTCCTTCCTCAGTTTCAGTTTCAGGATTGCTTCTGCTGGAAAACCCAGCGTTCAATTCTCTGGTTACCTCCTGTTTGCCTTGTGCATCTCAGACTTCTGCTTCAAAGGGAAGACGTTTTGCATTGTGCATTTTGTAAAGGGCTCTTTTGAAACATTTTCCAAAACTGATTTCCTCTAGCTGTTAAGGAGAGTTAAGGCATTTTTAAATGAATCCCAAGCAAAAATGCATTTAGAAGTACAATGCGTGTGGGGGCAGGCAGATAAAAACTCCAAACCTCTGAAGCAAATGATTACCAGGGTGTATCCAAATCAGAGATGTGGGGTTTGGTTCAGACCTCAGAGTAGACATAAAAATTACAGGCAACCTGTGCATATTTCTGTTGTTCCAGCTTAAGTCTGCTATGAGAATGAGATATTTTCTGTTTGGTTCTTAGAATCCAGTGTACAGTCTGGAGACACGTGTCCCCAGGCATGTTAGGGTCACCTGGGGGTGCTGGTTTACACTGACATTTCTGTGCACCTTTGAGGCTGAAAGAGTCACGTCTCTGCCGGGACAAATCCAGGTTTCTGATTTATTTCTTAGAGAATTATTGAGAACCACCAGCCTAGAAAATGGGCTCTGTGTAAAGATGTTCTAAGGGACAGAAATGGTATTAAGAGCAATATGGATGGAGATTGGAGAGGGTATTAGAAATAGGAGAATTAGTTCAGCACTGTGCTTTCAAAATGAAGATTTTATTGTTATGATTGAATTAGCAGAATAAAATCCTTTTTACATCTCTCATCTTTGCAGCTTGACTTTGTGTTAAATTGGGCTTTCAGCCAATGACTTGGTTTTGAAATCCCTCATACAGCGTTTGTGAGCATGAAGACAGCCCACCCCAGCTGACGTCTCACCTACGGCCTTCTGCCTCCCGTGGCTCCCTTTTCTGAGATGCCTTCCAGTTGTGTGTGATTTTGTGTTTTCATCAGATGGGGTGGTGGGGAGCAGAACCCAGAAAGAAAAACTCTAAGTGTTACAATTGTGGAGGGAAATGAGTGGGTGAGTAATAGAGGCTAATTTCATGGTAGTTTCCTCATGTTTGCATCTTGTGATGACTCCGAGGATGTTGTATATCCCCACACATGCCATTCGTGTGGCTCATCCTAACTTTATAACAGCTGTTTATGCTGTGCGGGAGGGTTTTAGGAGACTTGCCATACAGCAGGAGTAGCTATTAAAAATACCTTTTCACAGCTGGTTTTCCCCAAACACTTATTGAAGAATAAATCTCAGCCTCTTTCGTTTTTCATAGCAATTATTCCTTTGTTGCTAGGGTATTGTCAGAGAGGCCAAGCCCTGTCGTGTGTCTCTGAAGAGACACTGTATCACTTAGGATGCTTTAGGCTGTATGAAGTAGAAAATCCAGTGGCTTAAACAGGGAAGAGCTCTGTTGTGTCATCCCACACAGTCTCAAAAGTAGGTTCATTTCTTGGCTCATGAAGGACCCAGGTTGTTTCCAAGTTCCTGCCCAGCCAGCCTCACAGTGCTGGCGAGCCCCTGAGGATGATAACCACATCCTTACCCGTGACTGCCTCCCATGGGCAGAAACGTGCTCTATATCTGTGTAAGAGCTAGGATGATACTTTCCCAAGACATCCTCCAGCAGACTTGTGACCACATCTCATTGGCTGGAAGCAAGTGTCGGCAAGGGGAAGGCTCCCTCCCCCTCCCCCGATTATTGTGTCCAGCAGGATTTGCCTGAGCCACCTGTTGGGGCATGGATAGCGGAATGGAAGCAAAGCTTTGAACAGTCAGCCCACGGTGTCTATTGCAAGTAGTCTTTGATGGAACCAGGACATAAGCCTTGGCCATTTTAGCTCCTTGCCTGAAAGTAGGTAAAATTCCCTTTTACTCCTTACCCCTGCCTTCTTTCAAGAGACCAGCTCAGTCCCACACCCTGTATTGTTCTCCACCCCACACTCTGCACTCTTTCCCAAGTTTGAAAGCCCCTGAAAAGCCTGCGTGGAGAAACTCATCACTACTGCCCCTCAACCCTGCTTCTGGACCCTTGGTCCACCCTAAGATAAATAAAGCCCAGAAGCCAGACACACAGCAGTCTCATAGAATGGTAAATGCCATAAACATCACTCTGACCTCAGAATCAGCCTTTAAGGCATTCATATCTGGCTAAAAAGCCCATGAGAGTATCTCAGGCATGGAAAGCCAAGACACTGTGGCAAAAAAATGACCTAAAGGAAAGATCTCTATGAGTGAGATCCCAGTGGAAAGAAGGGGCCATCAAAGAAGGAGGTACCTTTCTCAGAAGGGAAGAGAGAACTTCCACTTTGATTATGGCCTTGTCTAAATAAGGTCAGAGTTTGTGGACTCAAGAGGCTTCCACTACCTTGGCAGCTGATGACAAGAACCTCGGGTGATCACTGAGGTCATTAATAAGAGTGTCAGTTGTTAAATCAACAACAGGAGTCAACTGTGCACTTGCTCCCCATGTAGGACCTCTGTCCTCAATGTGTTGTACTATGAGAATTAACAGTAAAACTAGTCTTCAAACAGTACTTTGTACTTTTTTGTGTCTGTGTGGGTGCAAACTGTTGAAATCTTTACTTAGTATAAAGTTGATCTTCTGTATATAAAGATGATTAAAAATGAATCTTAATGAACAATGGGATGGAAGAGGG